ATATGGTTCTGGAGGTGCCATCGTTCAGATAAAACTTACAACAGAGTTCCAGACTGCTTGTGCTCATCAAAGATCCCATGCCACTTTTTGCAAGAGATAAGTGTCTGTATCCTGACTCGATTCCAGTTTGGGTAATAACATTCAACCTTCCCAAATTCCCATTGAAATTTCAATGGCATATGGTGTTGTTCTGCTCCTCAGCCGTTGTGTAGCATTGCTGTTGATTGTTAAGACCCAGCTGTGAGACAACCCAGAGGCAGCTGGAAGTAGGGGATGAAGTGACTCCTGAATGTACATCTGCATACCAGGTATCTGCATTCAGAAGCTGGCCTTGAGTACCAGCTGCAGCAAGAGAATGACAGCTGGCTGGATTTTTGAGAGCTTTTAATAAGAGAAGCTGCCCCTTTTAATACCATCTTCCACCCATTTAAAGCTGCAGGGAAGGTAATTAGATGAATAAAGGCTGTTACTTCTAAAGGATGATCTCTCTCTTTGTGAAGTGCTGATATGTTCCCCTATGAGAGGTGAGGTGCAACATGAATGTAGCTTGCTACTGATCAATGCTGGCCTGTTCTTATGACATAGCATGTTCTCTGTTCCCTGTCCCGTTGCAGGTGGCGATCACACAATAACATACCCGATCCTGCAGGCAGTGGCAGAAAAGTAAGTTTAAAATCTGAAAATGGAGCATGTTTAAAAAGCTGATACCTTGTGGAGATAGAAGTTAGGCTGACTGGTCCATAATTCCCCGGGTCCTCTTTGTTCCCCTTTTTAAAGATCGTTTCTATGTTTGCCTTTCTTCAGTCCTCCAAGGCCTTACCTGCCCTCCCTGGGTTCTCAAATGTAATCAGGAACACTTCTGAGATTGCTCCAGCTAGTTCCCCTTAAGTACCCTAAAATGAATCTCATCAGGCTCTTCTGACTTAAATACATCTCATTTAAAGAACTATTCTTTAACTTGTTCTTTCTCTATTTTGGCTTGCATTCCTTCCCGCTGGTTCTTAACATTAATTGTGTTAAGTAGTGGGTCACAATTTACCTTTTTAGTGAAGACTGTAGCAATACAGGCATTACACAGCTTCTTAATGTGGTCAGTTATTAGCTCTCCTTCTCTGCTCAATGGAGGACCTACACT